ATCAAATAATAAATAATAGAATTATAGAATTATAATATAAATAAATATCACATAAAATAATATAATAAATGATATAATATAAGAAAAGAAAGACTCTCGGTGCCTGGGGGAAAGAGGATGGTCAACCACAAAGCCTGGGGCTCAAATGAACCCCTTTAAAGGAGCCAGATCCTCCTTCCATCCCTTTCCTGAAGCGTTTAGAGCAGCTGTGACCCAGAAGGGAGAGAAAGAAAGACAGAAAAGGAAGTGAATGTGGAAGGGAGAAGAAGGAGAGCCGAAGCGCCAGTTCTGAGCACTCCTCGCCTAAGCCTTTTTGCTCGCGGATGAGCCGGAGTTTGGCAAGCCGGAGGGCGACTTTTCCACCCAGATTTGGGGGTCTCAAGACGGGGCAGTGGGTTCCTCGAGTTAATCCCCTCTAAGCGGCGATTTCCCTCGGCTGATCTGGCGACCAAGCCTATTACAGCGTGAAGGGGGCTTCCTTTCGTCTGGGGACAAAGTGTATCCACGTGCGGATTAAGAGCCGACAAGAGAAAAAGAGAAATAATTAGCCAGGAAGGAGGAGAAGGGGGGGGGGGGGGAGAGAGAGAGAGAGAGCTCATTATTTGGCTTCTCCTCTTCATTGGGGGCTCTTCATTGAGCTTTTGGAGGGGGGGGGTCTGTTTGAGGCTGTTTGAGGCTTCCCTATCTTTATTGAAGGCAAAGAGGTAGTAAAAGGTGGAGAATTCAGGAGGAAAGCTGTGGTTTTTAGCATGGATGTAAACAGTGGCTGCTATTGAAGCCTGGGATGTGTAGTTTGGTGATGCACCAACTCCCAAGATCCTAGACATAGCATTGAGTCAAGGCATTGATTGTTGTAGGTTTTTCCGGGCTATATGGCCATGTTCTGGAGGCAATTTTTCTCCTGACGTTTCGCCTGCATCTATGGCAATAGAGGCCTGGTCATTACCTCTGAGGATGCTTGCCATAGATGCAGGCGAAACGTCAGGAGAAAAATTGCCTCCAGAGCATGGCCATATAGCCCGGAAAAACCTACAACAACTCATGGATTCCGGCCATGAAAGCCTTCGACAAAGTCAAGGCATTGTTGTCAAACTGCATTGATGAAGTTATTTCAACTTGGAGGTTGAGTTCCTCCAAGGCTTAGATTTCTCCATTCGGGTCCTTTGCCTTTAAGTCCATTCGGGTCCTTTGCCAACAACAACAACCAAAAACTCCTCCATATTATTATCAGGAATAGTACTCCATAGACCTCACTACTTCTGAGGATGCTTGTCATAGATGCAGGCGAAACGTCAGGAGAGAATGCCTCTCTAGACCATGGCCATATAGCCCGAAAAAAACTACAACAACCCAATAGTACTCCATATTATTATCAGTAATAGTACTCCATAGACCTCACTACTTCTAAGGATGCTTGCCATAGATGCAGGCGAAACGTCAGGAGAGAATGCCTCTAGAGCATGGCCATATAGCCCGAAAAAACTACAACAACCCAATAGTACTCCATATTATTATCAGTAATAG